ATCTTAACTATCTGTCATCTTGAGTCAATGTGTTGCAATAAAATGAGGAAGCTATTTTTTCCTGCATAGTTGGTGTTAGAAGCACAAATATCAACTTGTAATGACAAGGGAAAAATGGATGGACGTTGGATCAGCTTACTCTTTGTCCCAGTCCCATCAATAATCATGTCAGATAAATCCCATAATGTCTCTGTACTTTAATCTATTCATCAGTGAAATGAGGGCTATTATTTACACCTCATCTATCCTTTTGGTTTGCTCAAATAAGTGATAAATAAATGTCTGATGTTTGAAAAGGCCAAATTCTCTTTTATCCATTAAAAACTATAGCCAATACTAAAAACATAACAAAAGCAGACATTTCAATCATACCCTCTGTAATAGACTACAAAAATCCTATGAATTGCTGTTTTCTCTAATCAGAAAAGAGCTGGTAACTACTGCTCCAGGAGTTATAAAAGGCAAAAATCAGTGCAGATGTGGTTAAGATGGAAGGTATCAGAATGAAAAAAGCTGAGATTAAATTCTGCTTCTTCCACACTCAAGAAAAATCTCAGGTGAGATTTTTTTTAAACAATCTGTGTTTAAGACTTGAGACTTGGTAGGCAGATATATAGATGATATAGATATAGATAAAGATGTTCTGACTTTACTGAGTTGACATTCATAGAGAGATAAATTAAATGCAAATATCCTGTATTACAGGAAAACAAAATAATAAATACCAGAAGAGCACTTCAGACAAAGTGCTGTGGGAAGTCACACCTGAAAGACAGCACCTCCTCTTGGGAGATCAGGGACTTTTATGGAGGAGGGGGCATGTGAGTTGTTTTTGAAGAATGATCCAGAAATTAAACAGGAAAGCAAACAGATAGGGAATGCCGAAGGAAGAAACATAGTGAAGAAAGGTAAAAAGGCTGGAAAGCATGGGACTTTTCCGTGGGCCATTTTGGCCAGCTGTCCAGTGGGAAAGTTTGATGGTGAAGCTGGAATGCAGCTCAAGATCTGGCACCAATTTAAGGACATGGGAATTTACAACTTGGGGAGTAGGGATTTTATCACTCATGAATTCTGGAGAAGATTCCTCTTTGCTCCCTGATGTCCTGTCACATATCCATCCACAGAATGACCTTTGGGGAAACCAGCGTAGCAACACAGCCTTTAGGTGGGTAAATCCAAGTAGACATTGGCTACTTCAGATAGGTTTAGTGGCATAAGATGGCATGCTTTTCTTAATAAAACTTGAATAAATCTCTCACCTTTAGCCATAATTATGTGTGGTCTTCTCCCAGGTGAGGAATGTAAGCTGAAGTCTCTCCCTTCAATCTCTGCCACAGAGAGGCTACCTGGAATAATTAGGGTCTAAGAGTCCTTGTCCTATCCCATAGTTACCCCTATTCCCTAACACAGAAGCTATGAAATTGCCAAAGTCCTTTGCTTGGCATTCCAAGCCCTTCTCCTTAAACTCCCCGTGGTATTATTTCTCCCTGATCTCTTTGTGCAACAAATTCTCCTGTAAAACTATTTCTTGAATGGCCCTGACATTTTTCCACCTCTGTATTTTTACCAGTTCTCTCCTCTTTCTACTCCCTGCTTCCCTGAATATCCCAACTCCATGTCTCAGAACGTCCAAACTTGGCTCTTCCTTCAAGGACCAGCAAAATCCTCCAGGAGCCCTCTTTCTTTGACCTACCAGGCTGGTAAAAAAAAAAAAAAAAAAACTTACTCTTCTGAACAGCAAAATCATTTCATTTATAACTTTCTTGTGATTGTGTGTGGATGTTATAGTTATGCACATACATGTGTAAATGCCTTAAAATGCAGACACTGTGTGAGATGTACCTGAGTGTCCTCCTCACAATAGCAAACTCATAATGAACACTTAAAGAATGTTTGTGAAAAGAAAGGAGTGAGATGAAATGTTTGGTGTCTAGATTGCTTCAAACAACCAGACACCAAAAATGTGCAGCCACGTGAGGGGTTCTGGAAGCAGGTGTGTTGGTATCTGTGTGTTCAGCTGTGTTAGGGCAAAGTTAGTGAGAATAATGAGCCTGGTTCTGGAGACTGGAATAGGAGCCCATGATGAAATCAACACCATGAATGCCATCCATAGGTGACACCTGAAATTCTACATTTTCAGCTTCATCTTAGTCATTTCCTTCCACATCCCACCTCCCAGAAGTTCAAGTTACGTTGAACTCAAGTACACCTTAAACTTCCTCCCTTTGCATACTTTTGCTTATAAGAGTCTATGCTTCAAATACCACTAACCACCTAGAAAACACGTGCTTCTGCTTTACGTCACAAATCAATCATCGCTTCTTCTAGAAATCATTCCTGAACTCACTTTCTGGGTTTTTCCCATCTGTAGAATGGTACCAGTAATGCCTGCAATATGGGGTTTCTGTGATAACTAAGCAAGAGAGTGTTGCCGTGGCCAATGACCCCTCTTGCTCAGGAGTTTTATTTTTTTGCCCATTGTCCTGGGATAAGTATCTACAATGCTACATTTCACTCTCGAAAGTGCTTTAATCCAAATATTAAAATATAAGGAAATCCTAAGTAGTGTATTTAAGCACTTTGGGGCTAAATAATGGCAGCTGTCCTTTGGGCTAGATTTACACTTAAATCTGCTATGACATTAAAACATATACCCCTTATGAGTATGAGAACTCACTTCTGCTAAGTCCTAGTCCAGTGTTCTGTAAAACAGGGAAATGTGCAACATGGTAGAAAGTGGCAGGCACAACTAGAACTGGGGAAGCTCTGTAAGTGTCTGGTCCATGGCTGTGTTCAGCCTGATGTTTTGATTAGTCAGGACTTAGACGGTGTTGTGTTGTGAAGCACTTGATGGAAGATTCACATTGCCTGTGACTGTGGCGAGCTGAATCACGGCAAGTTCAAATAGCCTAAGAAGGCACTATTATAGGAATAAATGAAGGCAAGAGGTAAAACAGATGATGTCAAAGAAGCAGTTCAGCTTTCAGATTATGATGGAAGAATGGTACTAATGAGAAATAATTAGCTTCATCAGGACTGCCTTCCTTTTCAATATCTTACAATCCTCATACTTACTAACTGGAATGCTGAATTAATGTTTTTCACTTTAAAGGAAAAGACACCCATTAGGAAAGCTGGTAACATAATGTATGGTTGGAGTGTTTTTTATATCCTCTATACCTACAATGACATTAAAACGTTTCAATATTGCATTATTATCCTTAAAATTAATCAGCCACGTCCAAAAAGTGAAACCAACTTCCAAAGAAATTCTGACAGGTTTATAATATACAAACTTTATCATCAATTCATAATAAATACATTCTAGAGAGGATATAGATATCTAGATAGAGACAGATGATTGATTGCTTGCTTTTTACATTTGAAGTCAATTTTAAACCAGTGATGTCTACATTACTTATCTCATCAAGGAGACTTCATTTATGTATTTGCTGATTGTATACAACCTTTGTATGTAGTTAGAAGAAATGGTGGCATTTAATTGTTGGATATCTGCAAAAGGGAAATTATATTCTTTTTATTTTATCTAAATCATGAAATAAACAAGTGAGAAAATTTTAGGAATTGCTTATGTCTAATGTAACAATTTAGTCAAAGGCCATATTTAAGTTTATTAAGTACACTAATATGAAGTTATATTTTGCTATTCTCTTAATTTGAAGGATAATTCTTTACTAAAGATGCCACTGGTTGAAAAGCTTCAAAACAGAGGAAATATTTGTTTCCACCCATTTGTGACACATACATGTACATTTGTCTCCCACACAGCATCCAGGAAAACCTCTCATAAACATAAGTGGTGTCATACCACCCTTCTTTATAACAATTACACTTTGCTGAGAATACATCCCTGCTCCTGACCATAAGCAGCTTTGCCCTGCGTGGTCCATCTCCTGTCTGCCTCCCCAGCCACACCTCCTGTTTCTCAATAGTTTCCTTTATCCCCTCAAATGAACAAACCATCTCACATTTCCAGTCTTTGTCCACAACCACGCTCCAAATAGAAGCTCTTCTCGATCTGACTCCTACCTCTCCTTCCTTCGTGTGCAGCCTCCTCAGAAAAGGTCATCCTTCCTATGATTGTCTGTCTCCACCCCTTGATAATCATGCCCCTTATTCCATTCATCACAATTTGTCATTGTAAGTGTGTATATTATATGTGTATTACAAATACTTATCTATATGTAAAGAAAGGAATTATTTCTGTTTTATTTACAATTATATTCTATAGTCATTCAACAATGTGTAGTGAATGAATTACTTAATCTATTAATACTTGACCAAATCTTCCACTTCTGATCATTGCTATCTCTCTGTCCACACAATCAGCCTAAGAGCACTGGGAATAAGCCTACAGTCACATAAAATCAGATTTATTGATCCATTGCAAAGAAAAACACCACACACTAGGATTTGAAGGGAAGGGTAGGGTTAAGATAAAATTTAAATGAAGCAACATTTTGAGAGATTCATTGCAAAGCAGGGCTATGTATAAAGGGGTCAAAATTAGGTTTAAACCACAAAGTAGATGCAGTGTTGGAAACTACAAAATTAAGATCGATGCAGCATGTTGCAACCAAAGACCCTTATCTGAAGTTCTGCACCTGAGTTGAAAGTTGAGAATGCTTCTCCCCGTCAAAGTGTTTTACATCCTTCAGGCAGGAGTAAGATGCTTCTTCTTACTGATATAATTTGAAGCAATTAATTTTGGAGAGTCTATGATTTTAGAGAATCAAGATTTCTCAAGGAGTGAGAAATTAGTAGTCACTCAATAAAAAATGTTGTTCTGAAAGTTATGGTTTGCCCTTAGGGGAGACATGTTTCTTGTTGAGTCTGCAGCTGGAACCAAGTGTCTTTTCTGAACGATAGGGCAGATGCTGACTGTCTCAGCCATTTTTTATTCTATCATTTCATATTGGAAAGTCCATTATCTTCGGTTAACAGTTAACCTCAGTGTCGCACTAAGAGCTCTCATGTCCTCTGTTTCACAACAGCTCTCCTTAAAACTCCTTTTACATCTTGGTTCCTTAGACTGTAGATCAAGGGGTTGAGCATGGGTGTGACCACAGTATAGAACACCGCGATGATCTTGCCCCCAGCTCTGGAGGACTTTGACTGGGGTCTCATGTACATGAAGATGCCAGTTCCATAGAATAAGGCCACCACTGTCAGATGAGAAGCACAGGTGGACAGTGCCTTGTGCCTCCCGGAGGCTGATCGCATCCTGAGGACCGATAGAAGGATTCGGGCGTAGGAAACAACAATGAGGAGAAAAGGAATGAAGACAATGATGACACTGAAGATAAAGACAGCCATCTCAGTAAGTGAAGTGTCAGTGCAAGCCAACCTCAGGATGGAAGGAACTTCACAAAAAAAGTGATTCAGGACATTGGGCCCACAGTAGGGCAAACTCAAGGTGAGGATGTTGATGACCATGGAACTCAGGAAACTACTGGACCAAGAAATGGCTGCCAACTGGATGCAGGTGCTTTGGTCCATAATGAGAGTATAATGAAGGGGATGACAAATAGCTACATATCTGTCATAAGCCATGACACCAAGGAGAACACACTCAGTCATCCCTAAGGAGAGGGAGAAGAACATCTGAGTAGCACAGCTGGAGAAGGGGATGGTCTTTGTCCCCACCATGTTGGACAGCATTTGTGGGACATTGGTGGATGTATAGCAGATATCCAGAAAGGATAAATTAGTGAGGAAGAAGTACATGGGGGTTTGGAGACGTGGTTCTATCTGGATAATAATGATAATAATAACATTCCCCACCACCGTTAACAAATAGAAGAACAAGAACATAATAAAAAGAATGAGCCTTATCGTTGGCTGAGATGAGAGCCCCAGG